ACCCTGTTCCAATTCCCCCTTTGCTCTGTTCCGGAAAGCCTGCACCCCAAAGCCACCAGGTCCCATTTTGAATCATAGTGACCCAGTTAAATACAGGGTGCTCAGGCACATGGCAGTTACAACCACCGAACTGGAAGTGAGCATGGATGTTACAAAATTTATTACCCCAAGCTGTATCAGAGAAAGGGATGTTTGTACAGAAGAGCACGTAACAGAAGAATGATCAATAGCTGCAATGTTCAGATGAATTCCAATCTGAATAAGAGAAGCAGAGATACAGACTACAATTACTGGTTTTTATGGTACCATTTTTGTTTAAAGTCCTCTTCAATACTCAGTTACTCCATTACAGCACTATAAACAATCAGGATGACCCTAGCAATAACAAAATGAAGCTCTTGATGTTTTATCATCAGCCTGGAAACAACTTACATCTCTTTCCGCTCCCTAATAAAATTCTTGATATTCTTTATGTTTTTAATGTTCTAATTGGCTGCGAGTGAGTTCCTCTTTCTGTACCACTTTGAAGAAAACCTGCTTAGATCAGCAGACCACATCAGGCAGATAATTTTTTGCTAACTGATACACAAAGTGAATGCTTGAACAGAGCCTTGTTTATTTGCCTTTTCAAAATTGTGACATTTCAGATGTCTCCTTGCAGCCAAAACGTCTGTGTGGGTCATTGTGCACAGAGACAGCGATCTGCCTACCTAACATTCCTGCCGTGGCTCCGGCAGGGACGTTGTTCGCCTCTCATACAGCCAGAAATACAACGTGGGATTATGGCACACCACTAAAGCCAGCTGCTGTGTTTTGCCTTGGAGAAAGCTGCATTTTGCTATTGTGAGAAAGGATCTTCTGCACATAGAGACCCAGCCATCCTCATGGGTGCAATGGAGAGGCCAGTATCTGAACATAAGGTCTGGTCCCTCTGCCAAGGGTCTTGTCCTGTTCATACTCTTGACTCCAGGCACCAAATAACATAGGCATGAAATCAGACCAGAACAGTTGCAGTCACTGGATAAAATTCAGATGAGCCACTGGTGATTCAAGCTAAGACACCAGGCACTGAAGCTTGGTCACATTTTCCCTGCTCACTTTGACAGGGGCAGGGTTTCTGAGCAGCAAAGAGCAGCACCCATTTGGGGTCATAATACCTATAAAAAGACCAAAGTGGCACTGAGCTACTGGAAAGATGATATGGGGATTGTGGAAAGAACCACAGTTTCATACTTGCCAGCTGCAAATTTTGTTGCTGCTTTCAGGTCCAGCACAGCCATTTGGAGGGTGAGCTGGCTGCACTCCCCCACTTCTCCACCTTATGCTTTGGGTAATTATGCACATACTCAACTGCAAATTCCCCATCCTGTTAACACCCTCCAAAAGCACTTCCAACAAGAGAAATGTGGGCCTTACATCTGTATTTTACTGTAGAGTGGAAATGCCAGGAGTTATCCCTGCTATCCCAATAAACCAGTGTCCTTTCTCAGCTCCTTTGGGAACAACAGGAGCGTTGCTTAACTACCAGCTCAGGACAGGATTTTGCTACCACCACTAGCAAGTCCATCAGCAATGATGGGAGACCTCAGAGAGCCACCAGCCTGCTCTGAGGGTCAGCACTACCACATCACTCTCCTAGCAATGGGCACCTCAGGCTCCCCCGTTCTGCATCGCAGGCAAGTGCACGAGAAAGCAACACTTAAAATATTACATTACAAGGTGGATTTGACCCCATGTGGTGCTCAGGTGCAAATGCCTCCCCAGGGTGAAAGAAAACAGATAATTGGACTTGACAAGCAATTTATCAAAATGCTTTCATCTATGCAGAGTTAATGCAATACTTTCAATCCTATTTACTGAAACATTGGCACCCACAATGTATTCTGCTGCCATCATCTGACCCATGCTCAGCAGCAGATGTGACTTGATTGCACAATTAAATGATGCAGCAACGCCCTGATTTAATTTAAGCCCATATTTATAGATCTCTAGCCTTCACTGAAGCAGCACAGGGCTGACACCTGGCTTGTTGCAGTGGGTTCTGTTTGCTGTACTTCTCACACCTTCATGGGGCAAACTCCAGCTTCCAAATCTCATGGTATGTCCAGTCTCATTACCTTATTACTCATCTTGGAAACGGCCTGGCTCCCAATTCAAGCATATGCACTGCCGAAATAGCACAGCCAAACACTTTTGGGATTTGAATCCTTGGGATGGAGCAGCCCCTTACTGCATGCAGTGCCTAAGAGGATTTGCTAGGAAGTGTTTCAGAAAAACCCAGTAATGCAAGGCTTCTCAAAACCACTGAGCCACTTCCCACAGAGACAGTCGTTTGGGGAAGGGTGGGCTCTTAAAGAAACATGACGTAGCAGTAGTGAAATTAATTATCGTATTCCTCCCTCCTTGCCCCTGGGCAGCCCCCCAGGTTTCCCCATGAGTCCTATCCAGTGTCACTGTCAACACCAGGCACTGTAGCCCTGATTAAGTTATTACAAGTCAGTCTTTGTTCCTCTACTTCCAGTCAAGAGCAAATGAGACACATGCAGGCTTCAGAAGCCCTGAAGTGCAGCTCTGTTGTGGACACAGTGGGATGAGTGGAGTTGGCAGAGACCTGAAGACTCCAGCTGTTTTGGATGTAAGCAGTGCTCATGAATCGACTGAGCATTACTCAATGAGCATTTGCTGGATTTTCTGCTGGAGGTGCCATGTGGTGATAAGCAGGGATGTTATCAAAGTAGACTGATTATGCTAAGGCCGCATTACCACACACGGTATCAGGCTGCAAAACCCAGGTCCAAACAGTGCTAGGTTAGAAGTTCAAGTTCCATCAAAAATTTGGAAAGCACAGGTCATCCTCTTATCCAGAGCAAATTTGCTATTGAGCAAGAATCACTGCGCATCAAGCCATAGGTTTCCCAAAATGCAAGGGTTTCCCTGAAGTGCCCTAACCTTCCATTTGCTTTTCCAACTCTCTTTGCAGGCTTCATTAGAGTTGTAAATACAAGTTGCAATTCAAGACCCAAAGTGAATCACCCTCACCTAGGAGGTGTTCAGGCAGCATCCAAAGCCCAGAAAAAAATAATAGAAAGAGGAAAAAAAAAAAAAAGTTACTTATCACCTCCGGGAATCTAAAAGCACCTTATGGCAGCCTGAGCACATAGGGCCTTGCCCCCATCTTACAGCTGGGAAACTGAGGCACAGATTGCCACAGTGACATGTTTACAGAGGCACAAGATGATTGTGGAAGCCCCAGGTGAAGACCTCAATTTTAGTAACATGCATCTCACACTGCAAGAGCTAAAGTGGCTATTGCAGAGGGCTGTCACTGCTCACACAGTTGTGACCCTGACAAAGATCCCTGGGAGGGAAAAGGGTTAAGGAAGGGAATTTTGTTACTTTCTTGTCGTATTTTCTCGTGGGGGGAGAAGCGCTATGCAAGCAAGAGTTTTCCACTGGCGCTAGGCCCCCTTGCACTTATCAATGGGACCTTTCAGGACTCACTCCCTGATTGAGACATCATTTCCTGTCCAACACACTAACCCCATTGATAACTCCACGCTTGATGGGAACTTTTCAAACCTACCAGGAAAGGCCAGGAGACCCAGAAGAACATACACATGAAAACAGAACTGGGGCAAAAAGAAAAGGAACAGAGAGAAAGAAACAGTTTTGGCCACAATCCGCATGCTGACAACAAATGCTTATGATTGCAGATCTGCACGTCTTTAGCAGGTACATCAGACACAGGGAAGCCACTGACAGGCTCTTCACAGCAGTGGGACTGGCAAGCCTTACACTTCAGCCCAGTAAGAAGTGGAGAGGGGCACAAGAGGAAGCTCAAGAACTTCCCTCTTATCTTCCAGCCGCCACACAACAAACACAGAAACCAGGACTGGCCACAGAAGTGGTCCTACTTTCCACTGGAAAAGCCAGGAGGCCATAACCAATACAGCTTGCAAAACAGGCTAGAGAATTCAGATGTCCAAGTACCAGAAATGACACAAAGAGGAGCAATGATAAAACTAGGACTTTCCAGATATCTCAGATCAGGTACCCAAGGGAGGAACCCTTTTTTTCATCATTTATCATGGCTAAAGGCTCAATGTTATCTCCCAGGATACAGCCCCATCAGCTGCATACATCCTTAATGCTGGCTGTGGGGACTCACTTGATATTCTAACCACAGCCCAGCTCCAAACACAAGCTCCAGCCCAAAACCAGTATTTCCCCCAAATTTCAGGAGTCTGTCAAACCACAGCTTTTGTTTTCACCCCAGGCAATTACAGTTTTGCTGCCTACAAAGACATGATGATACCACAGTATCCATGGATCTGGATTATTGCTGAACAGGGTGCCAGTCAGAAAGCTCTTCCAACCCGTGGCAGGTGCCTGGGAGCCATACCAGAAATAAAGTAGACAATGTCCACACTGAAACTTTGTAATTTGGACTCTTTCCCTTTCCTGGCTTCAGACTTTGGTCAGCAGCTATCCAGCAAGAAAACTTTCTATGAAATTTAAATATATAGGCACGGAATACAGCAAAGGAGCTGTACAAACCAGCCAGGACACCGGCTGGCTGGGTAGATGGTTAGGGGGCGGCTCTGGAAGGTTTCCACTACCATCTCCATTACTGAACTGTTGTGGGAGTGTGCAAAAGCTCTGTTGTTTACAGTGATTTGGGTAAGTAGTTTCTGGGGGCCCAAAATGTAGCACTCTCTCTGTTCTAAGTGCATCTGAAGTATTTAAAATTAGATCCCCTCTTCAATAGAAACTATTCATGAAAATGTCAGCTTAAAATCTCTTTACAGTGCAAGTTACTCACTATGAGCATACCACCTACTTATACCCTACAAGAACAGAGTCTGAAAAGTTTCAAAATCATGATATGTAACAGATCAAACAAGTACAAAACCTTATTTAAAGGCATTATTAACTTCCCTGGAAATGTGACTAGAAGTGTGAGTAAAAATAATATTTCATGTTAGACAACACAGACTTACCTGTAGGTCAAAGAACTTGCTATACCTCCGGTAGATGACCTGGGAAGTCAGGTCAGACCATGTTACATTGATGATATAGACCTGTTCAGGGAGAAGGAAACACAAGTCAGTGGTCAGTGTGAGCCATGAATCACAGGCTGAGCAGTCAGCATCAGTTAATTCCACATCTCACTGGCTGCTCCTGCTCACAATGAGGAATATAGCCCTGGGTGCAGGACTAGCTTAAGTTAAAGTCATTCCCCTGTTGCAGCCTTTAGCAGAGGTCTCAGGAGAGCACCCAGTGTTCTCCCACTCATCCCCATCACCAGCTCCCACCAATTCCAGCTCTCCCTGGATTTAAAGCTTTAATTGCGCGATGACACATTTTCTGGTCTGTGACAGCACCCTGACCTCTACCTCTGCCCATCTGAAAGTCCCAGGGCCTGCTGCAGGCATGGCTAGGAGAGCTATTCTACCCCTGAAGCATCAGCCCACAGTGGGCTGCTCATCTCCAACCTCATGCTCCAGGTTTCCTTGTATATGGAGATGTGACCATGGCTCTTCCCAGGCAAGACATGGTTCTAGTTCAACAAGGAAATCCAAAGAGAACTCAGCTCCAGGGGGATTGTGAGATTACAGTCATGCAACACAGCTGCTTATGCACACCCATGTGGAACAGCTCAACCCCACAGCACACAGCCCTTGCTGAGTCACATGGTACCACTTAGCGACTTTGGCACCTAACAGACTGATTCCCAGGTGATGTAAAGCAGGTCAGTAAGAGTGACGGTGATTTCTTACATCAGTGGAAACAACAAAACAAGCCCAAAGCAAGCCCTGGATTTCCCTTGTCCAGCCCCAGTCCACCCCCAAAGCAATCATCTTACAGAAACACCGTTTTGCCAGAAGCTGTGATAAAGAATTATTTACACATACATGCACACGCACACATATATATTCAAATGTTTTCTTTTGACCCTAGTACCTCCAAAACATTTTTTAAAAAAAGGAAAAAAATGAGCCAGATTCTTCTCTCTCATATGCTTGCCTTTAGGCCAAATGCAGGTCCTGTTGCCTTGATGACAGATACACAACAATACTTTAGCAAACACAGGATGGAGGCAGCATGGGTGACTACTGAAGGGGACTACACAACACCAATGCCATGGAAATCACAACTAGGCCAGCTCCTGGGTCTTTAAAGTAATTTCCAGGTTTCACATATGGAGTGAGATAAGGATCTGGCAGAGGAAAGAAGAAAGCATCTCTCCTCCCTCTGCCATGGATGCAGAAGTGAAGTGCTCTGTCTCCAGCCATGGGGGGACAGATAAACACCACCCTCTTCTCCATCTCTCCCAGGACACTCGCCCATCTTCTAAGGTGCTGATGCACAGTAATTGCGTCTGGCTTTTAACAGTAACAGGTATTGCATGAAAACCCCTGGAGGGATGTTGAAGAACAGGCTTAACAATGCTTTTCCAAGGACTGCTGAGGGATTTTTCCCTTCCGGGTATGAGAGAGGCAGCATCTAGTGTCCTGGAAACCACGGAGGTCCTGCAGCCTCACTTTCGTCTCTGCTTGTTACAACCATGTCCAGTCCCGAAGGCAGTCTGCTTCTCATCTCCCGCAGCCCAGTTTCATGGTATTTGAGAATCAAACAAGCTGAGCCCAGGCAGTTAAGGAGATCTGGGGCCTTTCACTGAGTACCAAGGGTAGGACTAAGAGCCTGAATTTGGCTCAGTTATCGCATGAAACCTATCTGCTGCTCCCACTAGAGCAGAGACAATCAAGGCTGGCAAGGGGTGAGACCACAACTGTCAGCAAACCCAGGTTATTCCTCTGTTGCATCTCACATTTCTCCTGGAAAACCAAGCCACCAACCTCCCTCCTGCAGCACCCATATCATATACACAAGGGTGACACCAGCACTGCCCTGATTCATGGAGTGGAGATAAGACTGCATAACATGAAGCTTTCAGGTCCCCTTTAAAGATCTTACCCATGCAGACAAGTCAGAGGAGTCAGACCTTGTGAAGGAAGAAGCTGCTGTTGCCAATTTTCAGACCAGCCACATTACACTGAAAAATACTTTTCCATGTGTTTGTTGTGAGAAAAAAAAAAAAAAAGTTTGTAGCTCTACTCTGAGATAATTCACAACACAAATATTTCTACTCATTCTCTTATCCAACAGCTACTTTCAGATGGAAAACTCATTCGATTAAGAACATATCATGACAGATGGGAGCCAACTGGAATCCAAAAGCAACTGTAGATACTGTAATTCTGGGCCTGGGTTCTCACAGAGGGGACAAGACAGGGATAAGAGAAACATATTGTACAGGCAAATAAAGATTATGTTTTTTTCTTTAATTATACATTTTTTCCTCCAGAAGCTAGAAACAAAACACGTATGTCACTAACATCCAGGTTTTTTGAGTTTCATTGAACTTTGGGTTTCCCCATGCTACTCTTCAGAACCTACAAAAATCACGCGTCCCTGAGATTTTTAACAGCCTGCAAGGCTACTTGATCAAGATCCTGTCTGGACAGGAGTTAATCCTGCACTAAGAGTCCAGCATCGTTCAGTGGCACAACAGCTCCATCACAGGAGAGGGGCAGAGCTGGATACAAAAGGATATTGTGCACAAGAGGCTGGATGTGTTCAGTGCAGGGAACAGATAGGAGCAGGACTCCACTGCACAGTGCAGATACATTCCCAGATCTGAAATCCAGGCTCTGCAGGAATGGAGCTGCCACTGACTTCAGTCAAGCCAGGATTTTGCTGTACATTTAAAACAGCAATTACATTTTTTTGAGCCTTAGGTCTCTTCAAGTTCAGCGAGTGATGAATCAGGCAGCATGTAGATGCACTGACTTGTATTTCATAGGAAGATCACGGCAGGAGCAAGAAAAGCCTTTAATCATAACTCAGCTCTTCGTGAAGTGAGAAACGAACAGACTCAAAATCTGCTTGGTGGGACACAGGTGCAAAATCTGAAATGGTTATTGATTTTCTTTGCCTGTTTGTCTAAATCAAATTGCTTCTTGAAAGCCACCATTTAAAATAACGGGGAATAACTGTCTGCTTGAAAAAGATCTGTAAAATGCCAGATTTTAAAAGCAAGGTCTAGAGGTTTCAAAAGCCTTAGATATCACATTTCTCTCCCTCAGAGATCAGAGTGTGGTGATTATTCGTTTCTCCTGCCTTAGTCGGGCCCATAACCTTTTCATGAGCAGCAAACATTACATCAGCTTACCTCGCCGTTTTTTTTTCCTCAGATCTTAAAATGGGTTGCTGTGAAAGCAATCAACAATATCCCAGGGGAGAATGAGAAAAGAAGTCCTGGGGGAGCCCGAGGTCATGCAAACTCAACGGGACAAGGAGGCAGCAGGAAATATCAGATAAATACGGAGAGTGTCCCACGCTCGGCAGGCCCAGCATCGCCCTGGTGAGCTGCCCGCAGAGCTGAGGGAGGACTTTCTGCATCCGGCAGCTCCCCAAAACTGAGCCATGCGAGCCACCGCTCCAGCATGCAGCTAGTGCTACCCACGGCAAGTCCCAGGCACTCAGCACACCGTTTCTTGATTAAAGAAGGTAAAACCAAAGCATCTTGTACGTCCTGGAACAAGCTCTTCCATGTAAGCACAGTATTGTCCTACAGTCCATACACACGCAGAACTCAGCTTTAATTGTGACTGCAAATTACAAATTACTACAATAATTAATTAAGGTAAAAATATCTGCTTTATGTATCTGCCATGTTTATAGAGTCAAAACACAGCTGCTATTCAAAAGCTTCACCTTAAAAATCCATAACAAAAAAATCCTTAACAATAAGTAATAATTGAAGTACAAGTCACAAACAACTCACTGCACAATAACCGGGCGCTCCAGCCATTAAGAATGTGCAATTTTTAATTTCACAAATTCAGTCGTTTTTAGTCTACTATGTATTTTAAAATAAATCCTTCTTCAGAGAAACAAGACGTGGGCCTGTACAAACTGGAGAATATTAATCAGGAACTGAGCTTGATAAGCAGCTCTTAATATTCATGCTGGATGAAAGAAGATGCAGGATGTCAGGGGGATTTTAACAGCTGCTAATTATTGTTTCATTCTAGCTCTGGGAAACTTCCATTTTACCCGCCACAGAGCAGAAAATTTACTGCAAACTGAAGTTACTGCTCTCCCTTTACTGGCTACACCAAGTGATGAGGAGAGGTGACTTCCTACTACAAAAAGCATTCACTCAAATGTCACTGGGCATGACTTTATCATTGAATGTCTTGCTTTCAATGGAAAATATCCAGTTCCAGCTGGCACAAACCCCTGGGCTAAAGAATTCAGGTTATTCTCATGTGACCGATTTTTCAATTGGCTTTTTAGAAGCTAATGTTTTGGTTTCTACAGCCAGAGGAGCTGGTGTGGAAGATAAATGAAATGAAATGAGCAGTGTGATGAGACCAAGATAAGAACATCCACAAATACACAAGCTATTGGTAAAGACAGACAAGACTGAAAAGCAGAGACTAGAAATATCCCTGCACAAATAAGAGAAGGTGCTGTTAACCTTTAATAAGTAATTACAGTAAATACCACCTATTAAAAAAGTTTTATGAATGCAAAAACAAATGCTATGGTGCAATTTGTATGCAGATATCATCATGATAGCCCCTTTTATCCTGGAGAATGTCAGCTTCTTCAAAGACTCCTATTAAAGAGCTGGATCTTTGTCCTCCAGTGAATCTCGACTGAGTTGGAAAAGACACTCTTTTTAGGCATATTGAGATGCTATGACTGCCTATGAGCTGGAAGCTTTCCACCAGCACAGTTCAGCATGTGAATACTCCCTGGTCTGCTTCCATGCAAAGTCAGCCCAACTCCTGCAAGGCTTGCAGCAGTTTCAGCTGGTTCAGTTAGCTGGTGGAGTTTACATTAAAACAGCTCAAAAAGCAGCCCTCCACAAAGTCAACATACATCTGTGCTCTAAATTACCAGACTACAGGCACTGTGCTGACTTACTGCTTGTGTAACCATTTTAATGCCAAAGATGTTCTGACAAGTACATATCGGTGCTGGCCCAGACCCAGATTTGGAGTGA